ACACATTCTACAGGACTTTCCTAAATTAGATCACGATAATTTCTTTCTATCATTCCTTGTTTTAAAATCTCTCTTAATAACAAACATGCTCAGGAACAAATTTTTTGTTTTTATTTTAAATGAAGGATAGGAGAAAACAGACTACAGTTATACCCTGTTTCAACCTAGCCATAACCATACCTAGGTGCGAAGAAATGATATATTAATATAAAGTGTGAAGAATAAATCAATTCCTAGACACATTCTACAGGACTTTCCTAAATTAGATCACAACAATTTTAAAGGTCAAATAAAGGCAAAAACAGTTTCATTCTTAGTATTAAGGCATCACATGGCTCCTTGCAATGAGCTGTGAAACTTCCCCATCAACACTGAAGCTCACATTCAGGACTTATAGAACAAATGAAAAGGGAGAAGGAATGAATTATCATGTTGATAAAGATTAAGATAAGCATTCTTTCACCCATCTCTGGAGGATACTGAGGGGTAGGTTTAAACTCCTATTTATTTTTTTGGTAGAGAGGGGGTCTTGCTCTGTTGCCCAGGTTGGTCTTGAACTCCTGGCCTCATGTGATCCTACCACCTCAGCCTCCCAAAGTGCTGGGATTACAGGTGCAGGCCACCATGCCCAACCCCTACTGTGCTTTTTAAAGAACAAGACAAGCTGGCTTAACAGGTAAAATATTCCCTTTCAATAAAGAAGTCTGTCACCAAGATCCCTATCCACCATAGTTCAGGCAGTTAGAGCAGATATATTTTCACCAGAGGGCTAGTTCTCAAACATAGCACTAATTATGTCACTCTCTACTTCAAATACTTGAAGAGGCCTGTTCTGTCCACAGGAGTAAGTAAAAACCATTACTATGGTGCCCTTCATGATCTGCAAACCTACATACCAAAAGAACTTACTCTCTTCCCACAAATTATATATTCTGGTCTAGGGTTTCCCAAGGTATGTTGTCGGTAGGTCAATTAAGTCTGGATACACAGAATTAAACATAGTTAAATAGGCTAGTTTGTTCCTGTGCCTCATCAAGCTTCCAGAACTCCCAAGGAATGCCTCAATGGACCAGCGCTCTGGAGAACACATTTTAAGGGATGCTACTCTCTAGTCACGTCAAACTCTGCCTCTTCTCTATCTAATGTGCCACATTCTTTCATTCTTCCTTCTTTTGCACATCTTGAAAGAATATTTTCTCAGTACTCACTGTCTTCCCCTTCTTACTCCCATATACTCCTCACCTCTCTGGGATCAGGCTCCTAACTCTTCTCATGCTGCAGAAATTGCAGTGCTCTAAATGTGGCAAGGTTTCTTGTGTCCCTTTACCTGTACTTGGCACCCCCCACACACCCCTTCTCACTCCTCTTGGTCTGGGCTCGGCTCACCTCTTCATTATTTTTTCCATTTTTCTTCTGACAATTACAAATACAGAGAAAAAGACAAAAATGCAGAATAAAAACCGAACACATGCATGCCCATTAATCAGGAGTGACAACCATTAGACTATGCTAATAATGTCATGTTGTTATGCTAATAAAGTCATGTTTGCTTCAAGTCTTTTTTTAAAAGAATAAAACCAGATAAAGATGAAGTGTCCTTTGATTTCTGCTGACAACCCACTCTCACTCCTTCTCTCCCCAAAGGCAGGCACTTTACCAGTATGCTGTTTATCCTTCTATCTCACTTCTATGCTTGTATATGCAAATGCATTCCCAAGCAATGAAAATCATTATGTACCTTACAAAAAACACAATGACATCATACAGTAAGTATAACTTATCAGCTTTCTTTTTCTCTCAGAAAGATCTACTCAACAAAATCTACCCGTATTGACACTCAACACGATCTGCCAATGTTGATTCATCTGAGCTATCAACACTGTCCTATTGCTTCTGTTGCTATCTCCAGTTTCTGAGAACTCAGTACATGCCAGGCCTTGCTCCGAGTGCTTCACACATATTGTCTCATTTGCTCCTCCCAGTGACCCCCTGAGAAGATGCTCCAAATGCCTACAGCTGACATGGAGCAGGGACAGCACCTTCTCCAGGCTCGGCCAAATGTAAGGCTATGTCCTTACCTACTGTGCTAAGCTGCCCTGTTACTATCAATAACCCACTGAGCACTATCCCTGTGCCAGGTGTCTTGTATGTATCACGTCTCTTAATTCTCTGAACCATATACTTACTTACGCATTAAGTACAATTACTATCCCATTTTAGAGACAAAGACACTGAGGCTGGAGCATGTGCTGGAGCTTTGGTGTCAACAACGACTACACAGTTTAAGAGTCTAAGTTTTTATCTACTAGGCTAAATGTCATATTTACTTGGAAAAATAAATAACTAAATAAAAGTGGAAAATGAGATTAGAAAGATGGGTTGATATGAGGCTGCAGAGAGACTTGAGTACTGGTTAACTTGTTCCACACTACTATACCTATGTTGCTAGTCCCTGACCAACACAGTACCAAAGCATCCTGGGAATAAGGATACTTACGATCGTGGACTTTGTAGCAGTGCTTCTGCAAGCGCTTGACCTCCCATTCTTCCAGCACGCCGTGAGTCATCAGCAGCTGGAGGAATCGCCGATGGACATCAGTCATGATGCCCGCTGCTCTCCTGGTACTGCTATGCATGTGTGAAGTAACTAAAAAAGAAGTAAATGAAACCAGTCATCTCCAAACACACCAAAAGCAATGTCCTAGGTCTGGTACTAATTTACATGAATAAAAATTTGTGATCATTTTAAAAATTAAGCTCTTCATGTTAACTACTACAAAAGTGAAAAGAACACGAGTCAGAGTTGGTACTGGGTAGTGGTAAGAAGTGTGGATTCTGGAGCCAGAAGGCTTGGGTTCAGAGCCTGATCTACCACTTACGAGGTGTGGGAAACTGGGCAACTTAGTCTCCATGTGCTTCAGTTTCAGATCTGTAAAGTGGGAGTAATGACAGAATCATCCTCCACAGAATCGCTATGAGGATTAAATGAGTTAATACATGTAACAGCCCGGTAACATAGTAAGCACTAAATAAGCATGAGCTATTTTTACCATTAACCAATTCTGGGTCTGAACCTTGGCTCAGCCACTTACCAGATCTATGGTCTTGGAGAAATTTCGCCGAGGTCCCGTTTTCTCACTATAAAATTATAATAACATTCATTGCTTGGAGAACTGGTAGTAAACACTTAATAAATGTTAGTTTCCTTCTCTCCCCTAACCTCTAATAAAACAAGTGTCA